ATTCCTGTGCTCTTATCTATATTGCTGTAATACGCGTTCAAAAACTATAGTTTATTATAATAAAGCATAATTTGGTATTAAGTGTTGAGTCTTGAAATCGGCAATAACGCATGAAGATGTCTTCATATTAATGGAAGTTATTCAGACATTCAGTATAGTGGATATGACTTGAATGGTGGTAATTATCGTTCTTACGGTGTCTCCGTACTTGTTGAATGCTTGGATTAAGCGTGGAAAGTGCTTATTTCGCGTCGTTGTTTAAAGATGATATCTGAGCAGATTTTCTAATTGTGCATGTGAGACAGGATAAAGAGTGAATTAGTTAAAGAGAGAGAGAGAGTGAGGAGAAAAAGGGATATTCCCTGCGGAGATAATCACAGACATAAGGGCTAGGGGGTGGAGAGGAATGGAGGCGGCGGCGGCGGCATCCGGGGATCTCATCAGGCCAATAATTAGCACTGCAATCACCGCGCCGGACTGCACACTAAAACCCTCTGGTCCGGACTTTAAACGACTCAAAATCCCCCTTTCCCACAACCATCTCACTCACTCACATACAATTCTCATCACTTCTCAACTAGATGGGACGACTCGACTCGGCTCTCATTAGCCACTCCATGGATATTCATCGGAGTAATTGGAAATATCTTGCAGACGCCGGGAATCGCACAAACAAACCGGATTAAGTGAGCGAAACTTCCCCAAAACTAAACACCAGAATCCGTTAATTACCAATAATTGCGTAACCTCAATCGTTCTCCTTAAACCGAAACGATTCAACGCACACTTATATAATGTATAATAATATAAAATATGTGGATCGAAGGAGGCACCGTTTAAATTTATGGCGGATGCGCCGGGGGTTCAGAGATCGCTTCTTCTTTTTACGAGACGAGAGATATGGTCGTAACCGTTTTTATCTTCGCCGTGGAGAATCATTTCATCCGCTCTTTTTTTATATTATTATTATTAAAAAAAATAGAAGGAAGGAATATAATAAAGGAGAAAAATAATATAAGATATAAGTAATTTCGTTAGAAACGCGAGATGGAAATGATAAAGGACGCGCGTAAAATCGAATCGAAACTTGAGCTCGCTCACATTAAAACCTCGTAAAATAAACTTGATTTCCACTTAGAAATATGCTTGCATTTACATCTTTTTCCACCAAGTCTCCTTTTCACGCAGATAAGGTTCCATTTTACCTATAGCTTAGGAACAAATTATCTTTTATAAATGATCATTGCATCATTTGAAATTTTATGATTCAACAGAAAAATGTACTTTTTATCCAAATAAAATTAACTCATTTATATTGAAAATAATGTAGAAACTTAATAATAATCAAGTTTAATAAGAAAATGTTAATTAAGTTTATGAAATTTACTAATTATTATAATTAAACTGATTCAAACGTTAAATTTTATTACAGAAAAAATGTTTTGACAAAATTAAATTTTAAAAATTTCAACTCTTACATTTTTTCAATTAATTTTTATTAAAAAAAACATATAAATCTAAAATTTAGTTTCGTATTCATTGAGAAAGTTTGAATTAATGAATTTGTAATAGTTTTTATGCAATTTCAATTTTTTTTTATAAATAATTTAGTTTATAACAATTTTATTTATTCTCAAAAATTTTAAAACAAATAAATTTTGTATAATCATGTTTTCTTACAATTACAACAATACTTATCGTATAGTTTTGCTTCGATCAGTGCAGATTCACTATAGTACGGTTTGAGAATTTGAAAGAAATAAACAAATTTTTAAAAAATTACTACACAAAATTATTTTTTATAAATAAATTTCCTCTATATACAATCATGTCTCTTTTTGTGCGGTTTCTATTTCTAAAAGTGCAATCAATACCTCGTATAGTGCGGTTTGAATCAGTGCCAATTTAAGGTTCGAACATTTCAAAGCAAACGAATTTTATATATTAAGTAAAATTCAAAGAATTAGTACTGAAAAATAGTTTTTCAGTTTTCATTCTTTTATCCCTTTAGTCATGATTCTTTTTATACGGATTTAAAGTCCTCAATTAGTCCGATTTCAATCAATCTCGGATATTGGCTGATCCGATTAACCGCACTATGCGAGGTATTTCTGCAATTTAAAAAAAATCTCATAAATTTTACAATTAGGAAACTCATATACATTTGTTTTTTTTGTTCCCAAAACGGAAAAAATGATCTAGTAACCGCAGGTAATAAAAAAAAACGGAGGACGTCGAGGGTTCTCGATCCTGTTACATTTTTTTTTGTAACTTTATTATTATTTTCACCTTTTCGCTCGTGCCCAGGCGAAGGTAAAGTGATATAAACTCAACCGTGGACTAAAGGGACGCCTACGTCGATCTCGACCCCCCTTTTTTCGCATACATTTTAATATTTAATATTGTAATTTCAGTAACGCAGGTCACACTCGTACTTTCCGCACAGATATACGAAGTGCACTAAACATAACCAGACGAAGTGAAAGATATAAAAAAGAAATATATATGTATATAGAGATAGACATGATTTTCGCCCTTATTTGTAAGGTTTTGGTTTTAATTATAGACTTTTTTTGTCGTTGTTTGCGGTCATCTCATGCAAATTTGAAGTAATTTGCATTTCGCCTCTCGTTATTCGATACACGTCCGATGCGAAAACGGTCCGAACGTGTTTTTCCTCGATTCCTCCATTCGACTAATTATCCAAGATGCCTCTGAATTCGTGACGACGGCGGTTTAGTACGAAACGCGCGGACGGATGGCGCCACCGTCGCCGCACCTTTCATCCATCCATCCATCCATCCATCCGGGCTTATTAATTAAACTACCTTTCGTAATAACTCGATTCAATGGAGGCAACTTTCGCAGGCTTTCAGTTCTAAATTAATTAAAAGACCGATATGACTGACGCGAGCGTTGCACGATTTTCCTACGACTTTTAAATGCCGGAGCGCCCGAGGATCGTCCGTGTTGTTTTTCAACAAACCACCCCCCCCCCTCCTGTTCATCCCCCTTCACCCCTCACAAAACCCTAGATTTCCATTTTACTCCACCGCTCCGATTCGAATTTAATTAATTGAAAAAGTTTCGGTTCATCAAAATCAGATGGCGCCACCATCTCAATTTACACTAAACTCCACAAACAAGTATACTTAAACAATTAAATTTTTTTTTTTACTAAATTATTCAAATTTCAAATATTTCTCTGCATTTCTTTATTAAAAGTAATTCAATCTTTAACTGAAGTAAAGTTTACTAGATATTATAAAAATTTGTAAAAAAAAAATTGTTTTTTCTTTATGTTCATTTGTTATTGTCTTTCGTTTAGGACATATTTATTTCACAAAGTTAAACTATATTCAATAACCATGGTAACACCATCACAATTTACACTAAATTCCACAAACAAGTATACTTAAACAATTAAATTTTTTTTTTTTATTAAATTATTCAAATTTCAAATATTTCTCTGCATTTCTTTATTAAAAGTAATTCAATCTTTAACTGAAGTAAAGTCTACTAGATATTATAAAAATGTGTAAAAAAAAAATTGTTTTTTTCTTGATGTTCATTTGTTATTGTCTTTCGTTTAGGACATATTTATTTCACAACGTTAAACTATATTCAATAACCATGGTAACACCATCACAATTTACACTAAATTCCACAAACAAGTATACTTAAACAATTATTTTTTTTTACTAAATTAATAAAATTTCAAATAGTTCTCTGCATTTCTTTATTAAAAGTAATTCAATCTTTAACTGAAGTAAAGTTTACTAGATATTATAAAAATTTGTAAAAAAAAATTGTTTTTTCTTGATGTTTATTTGTTATTGTCTTCCCTTTAGGACATATTTATTTCACAACGTTAAACTATATTCAATAACCATGGTAACACCATCACAATTTACACTAAATTCCACAAACAAGTATACTTAAACAATTAATTTTTTTTTATTAAATTATTCAAATTTCAAATAGTTCTCTGCATTTCTTTATTAAAAGTAATTCAATCTTTAACTGAAGTAAAGTTTACTAGATATTATAAAAATTTGTAAAAAAAAAATTGTTTTTTCTTGATGTTCATTTGTTATTGTCTTTCGTTTAGGACATATTTATTTCACAACGTTAAACTATATTCAATAACCATGGTAACACCGTCAAACTTTTGTTAGGTTACGCTGAAAAAACGACAATTGCAACGTTGTTAC